GTCTGTCTGGCCCTATTCCAAGTGCGGCGGCACCTCTGGACAAAGGCGTGAACGGAGGGAACCGCAACTTCGGATTCCAGACTGGGAAAAACTGGTGGCTGGTAACCTAGACTACACTGAAACGGAGAAAGGCCCGTGGCAGACACTGGTAACGAATTATGTGTGTACTCCACCCACGAAAGTTGTTGGCTCCAGGAGGAAGGATTCTGCGAGACCAAACATCGCAATGTACGCTCAAGATCTTGATTGGCTCTCTCAGTCTGGCCGTTACTCTGGGGATGAAAACCAGAAGAAAGACTAACAGTGGCCCCCAATAAACGACAGAATTCTCTCCAGAATTTAGAGACGAACTGTGGGCCCCTGTCAGAGACCACATCCCTCGGGAGGCCATGTATGCGAAAAACATGGTCAATGACAGCAACCGCTGTCTCTCTGGCTGATGGTAATTTGGGCAGAGAAATAAAATGAGCAGCCTTCGAGAACCTGTCCACCACGGTTAAAACTACCGTGTTACCGTTAGAGGATGGAAGACCCGTAACAAAATCTAGCGAGATGTGTGACCAGGGTCTCGAAGGCACTGACAGCGGTTGGAGGAGTCCAGCAGGGGGACGATTGGAAGACTTGGAAACTGCACAGACAGAGCAAGCCAAAACAAAATCGCGCACATCACGAGCCATAGCTGGCCACCAAAATCGTTGTTTGATAACAAATAATGTGCGACTCACCCCTGGGTGACAAGCTACCTTGGAGGAATGACCCCACCGGACAACGTCGGACCGTAATCCCTCTGGCACGAACAAACAACTCGGTGGGCATCCGATCGGGGGCGTTACCCCATCCAGGGCTGCACGGACCCTCGACTCAATCTCCCAGGAAATGTTCGCTACGATGATGTTCTGAGGGAGCACAGGATCAGGAGATGACTTGTGATCCGAAGGATCGAAAAGACGTGACAACGCATCAGGTTTGATGTTCTTGGAACCTGGTCTATACGAGATGGTAAAATTAAACCGTCCGAAAAATAATGCCCACCGAGCCTGCCTGGAGTTCAATCTTTTAGCGGATCTAATATATTCAAGATTTTTATGATCGGTCCAGACGATAAAAGGCACCCCCGAGCCTTCTAACCAGTGACGCCACTCCTCCAAAGCAAGCTTGACGGCCAACAACTCTCGATTACCAATGTCGTAGTTTCTTTCAGCAGGAGATAATCGATGAGAAAAATACGCGCAAGGATGGACCTTGCCATCCGAGGTGGAGCGCTGGGACAGAATGGCGCCGACCCCCACCTCCGACGCATCGACCTCCACCACAAACTGCCGGGAAGGATCAGGGGCAATGAGTATCGGAGCTGAAACGAAGCAGCTCTTTAGTTTGGAAAAGGCAGCTTCGGCTGCGCTGGTCCACCTGAACGGCGTCTTGGAGGAGGTCAAGGAAGTCAGAGGCGTGGCGAGCTGGCTGAAATTGCGAATAAAACGCCGGTAAAAATTGGCAAAACCCAGAAACCTCTGCAGGGCCTTACGGGAATCTGGGGTTGGCCAATCTACCACAGCCTGAATCTTCTCTGGATCCATACGCATCCCCTCGACTGACACGATATGTCCCAAGAACTGAACCGACTGTGCATGAAAAACGCATTTCTCCGCCTTGACATAAAGCCCATTCTCTAGCAACCTCTGCAACACTCGCCTGACATGTTGAATATGTTCCTGGAGAGAGTGAGAAAAAATCAGAATGTCATCCAGGTAGACATAAATAAACTGATCTATCATGTCTCTCAACACGTCATTGACGAGTGCCTGGAAAACAGCTGGAGCGTTGGAAAGGCCGAAGGGCAGAACGCAGTACTCAAAATGCCCTCTAGGGGTGTTAAACGCGGTTTTCCACTCATCCCCGGGTCTTATGCGAACCAAATGATAAGCATTGCGAAGATCTAATTTTGTGAAAAAGTTCGCCCCCTGCAGGCGCTCGAAGGCTGAAGACATCAACGGCAAAGGGTAAGTATTCTTAACCGTGATGCTGTTCAGCCCTCGATAGTCTATGCACGGACGAAGGGAACCATCCTTCTTTTTCACAAAAAAAAATCCCGCCCCCGCCGGTGAAGAAGACGGGCGGATGATCTTGGCTGCTAGAGAATCAGAAATATATTTCTCCATGGCCTCCCTCTCTGGAACAGACAGCGAATACAACTTGCCTTTAGGCGGAGACGTACCTGGCAATAAGTCTATAGCACAGTCATAGGGACGATGAGGAGGTAGAGAAGCAGCCCGGGACTTACTGAACACTCTCTTCAGGTCGTGGTACTCACGAGGCACGTTTGACAGATCCACCTGCTCCTCCTGAAACACAGAACAAGACACAGTGGAACAGGCAGACAATAAACAAGACTTATGACAGCTCTCACTCCAGGAAAAAAACTGTGTTGTGACCCCAATTAATGTGAGGCTTGTGTAACACCAACCACGGGTGTCCCAGAATAACAGGATTTTTGACAGTGTTAGTGAGAAAGAAAGTAATAGTCTCAGTGTGGTTTCCTGAAGTAATGAGCCTAATAGGAGCTGTAATATGTGTGATAGTTGGGAGAGGTAGACCGCTAAGTGCGTGAACAGCTATGGGTGAAGAAAGGGGAAAACAGGGAATTTTTAACTTCTTAGCTAAATCAGAGTCAATAAAACTCCCCTCCGCTCCTGAATCAATGAGCGCATGACAGGGATGCAAGTTCGAATTGAATTCCAATTTAATGGGTAGGAAAGTGGAATCGGGAGAGTCCTTCCCTGTCATGACCTCACCCACCAAAAGACTCTTACCAGCGGATGATTTATTGTTCTTGGCCGGACATAAAGCCGCATAATGACCAGCAACCCCGCAGTACATGCACAAGCCCCCCATTCGACGGCGTCGTCTCTCCTCCGATGAGAGGCGGAACCTTCCCACCTGCATGGGCTCGGGTTCCGGATCGGGGGGTGAAGCCTCTGGAAAACAGGTCTGTGAGCGAAACTCCCTGTGCATACCTCTGCGCTGCAAACGGTTGTCCACCCTTATGGCCAGGCTGATGAGAGCGTCCAACGTCTTAGGTAGCTCCAAAGCGTAAATCTCATCTTGTATATGATCCGCGAGTCCGTGAAAGAACATGTCCCACTGAGCTTCACTGTTCCAACCACACTCAGCCGCCAGGGTGCGGAAATCGATAGAATACTCCGCCACCGTGTGATCTCCCTGGCGGAGCTCCGCGAGACGTCTAGATGCCTCTCTTCCTGAAGCGGACTGATCGAAAACGATCTTGAGCTCCTCTGTAAAGGACTTGAATGTTTGACAGCAGGGCAGTTTCTTCTCCCACGCCGTGGTTCCCCATAATGCCGCCTTGCCAGTCAAAAGGTTGATTAAAAACGCCACCTTGCTCTCCTCGGTGGGAAAAGACGATGGTTGAAGTGAGATGTATAGAGAACACTTGGCGATAAACGCTCTGCAAAGTTGGGGTTCACCTGCATAGGACTGTGGTGGAGGCAGTCGCGGTTCGGCGGTTCGGGGAATCTCATTGACCACCGGAGTGACTGGTGGTTCAACGGAGGGAGCCGGTAGAGTGGAACCGGCGCTGAGACCTGAGCTGAGTCTCTGGACTTGTGTTGTCAGCTCGGACACCTGATTTACCAGTGCTTGTATAGCCTGACTGGTCACCTTCATTTGTTGCTCCTGGTGGTCCATCCAGGCGACACTGCGTGACAGCACATCCTGTATCTCCGCCGCACTTGCTGGGTCCATGTTTGGTCAGTTCGTTCTGTGACAGTAAACAACAAGACGTGGAACCCAAATGCAAGTAAAAAAAGTCTTTATTGCTTGACTTAAGCAAAACAGTGAAAATGGTGAGTGGTTGGAAGTGAGGAAACTGTAGTAGTAATTAAAGAGATGGTCCGTCTCGGCAACGCCGGATAAATGTTCATAAACTCATCAACAGAGTAGATCAAACATTCGTCGTAGAGAACAGCAATGTCTCAGATGAACTCATCAACAGAGCAGATCAAACACTCAGCGTAGCAGGAAGAGGGCTCATCAGAGACAGCAACAAGGAATCAACCAAACCACTCACCACCAGCGATCTCAACGGGAGGAGCCTGACAAAAACACAAAACACCGTGAACAAACAACGAACTGACAAAGTGAGACAGGAACGCTGATCATTTATAGGCACATAAAATGCGCTACACCTGTAGCGCGCTGATTATCAGCTGAGCGCGCTACGCAACAGTTCCGGTAACAAAAGATCATGTGACCGCTCAGCTGATGACATGAAAACAAACACCCACTGACAGCCACGCGACACCCACACAAACACAGAGAGAAAAAGCACACATACTTAAACACGCATCATGATACTGAACTGTCACACAACGCAGACACTTCAAATAAGGAGCAGATGGATCCACAACCGTGACAAGACCAGCATAGGCCTTTTGACTTTGGTCTATTTTTCTCCAGTTTATGAACTACTGAGTCAAAACTACTTGTGTAAAAGTATCTATAAGTTTAAAAGTTATCTATCTATAAGTTATTTAAGTGTTAAAAAGAACAAAATAAGTCATTTCTAAATGTATTGTTACCCATATATCACACAGCTTTAGGACTTAATTCTGTTGACAATAAGGCAATAGGTTTAAAGCTTCCCTAACACTAGTAAGAACAAAAAAATTTGCTAAAAAGTGGCTCACGAGAGACACCTTATTTGTTCTCAAGTTGATGCACAATGAATTTTCCCAGAATATGTGTGCCATATGCACTGACGTCAAAAGCCAGAAGTGTTGTAATAAACCACTTCAAAGAGGAAAATAAAACCCATATTCTACAGTTATAAAAAAATAGCAGATTTAGACCACAAGTTTTGTTTGTCACTGTTAGAACTCTCACAGTGGATCTCAGATTTCGACATCAATATTTCAGTGAGTGATAGCTTTTATTCAACATGTTATCAAAGGTCAAGATTTACCAATTTATGTTTTCCCAATGTCCTCATAGGCCAATGGGTTTGGAAAACCCAATATAACTCTTCAGGACTCACAATGCAAAGCAACCTCAAACGCCACCCATTATATACTGGAGACGCCTCTGTCTGGCTGCCAAACCTCCAAAATCCCCTCGCACCCCAGCCCAGTGGTCCTCTACATCAATGCAGTGAGTATTAAAGCCAATATTCAATCGATATAATCAGCCTGTGAAATCTAGTCCTTGTTTGCTTTGCTTTTGACCAATGTGTGCAAGTGTCCAGGGTCATTATATGAGCGTTGTCCCCTCCAACAGATTTTTTTTATGTTTCTTCTTCTTCACATATGTGTGTTGTTGTTGTTTTTAACAGAAGGGAGGATTCACTTCCACGCTGATCCTCTGTGATAATTTGTAACGGAAATTCCTAACAACACTTTTAGCCTTAAACCCATTATAAAAACCGGGCGACCTCCCAAATATTTATCCTTTGCTCTGAACTCTAAACCTCAAGGGCAATTAAAGCGATGTGACCCATTTGGTCAGAGCACAATATTGGCTCGCAGACAGAGATCCAGAGAGCATCAAAGGAGGCTGTTGTCATTACAGTGACAATCCTGTAACAGATTGGCTAGTCTTGTGTGAATTGATTTCACCATTTAATCTCCATTCGACTATGTTCACAGGCCTCCTCCACCTCTGAACCCAAAAACTGTCCTGAACTCAGAAAGGGAGGCGACTCTCATATTATAAAGTGAATGGGTTGCTGTTATTTTTTTCTGATGAGAAAAAAGATGAGATTTTTTTTTCCATCTGCCTTTGGGAGTCACATTGCTGAAATTGTGCATTCCCATGTATTAAATCCAGCTTTCTCATCTGTCTCAGCAGACCTTTGGCAAATATACAGCTCGGTTATCTCTGATTGTATCTTCACTAAGCCCCAGAGTGAAGCAATGTCATCGCAAAGGATTATTTTGTGGAAGATATTGTGTGATTGTTAGGAATTGTTAGAGTTACCCTGCCTTTTTATTGATGTAAATGAAGACTGTCTTTGATTAACAGATTGTTATTAGCCAATCAGAGCAGAAAGATGGAAGTGGCTGGCCTGTTGATGATGAAGATATGGAGCCTGGAGAAGTTTTATTACCTGGAGATGCATTACCGGAGCTCACAGAACGAATTTTACCAGTAAACGGACATCATGCGACTATTTTGGTATCTACTGCCACTTTTTTGTCAAAAAATTCATTGGTTTTCAGGGAACAAAGTAGAAGTACAATAGTTAATTGGAGAAAAAAAATAATAAAAATTAAAAACAAATAAATAAATAAAATAATATCAAATAATAATAATAATAATAATAATAATAATAATAATAATAATAATAATAATAATAAAAATACTGATTATAATAAAAGTTTTTCTTAAAAATATTACATTTAACTGTTGAAATGGGATTTGATACATTATTTAGATACCACCACAGTACATTTTAATATGCATATTGTTGTAATTTGAAAAGTACATAATAAGATAACCATAGCAGGCATTGTATATTTCTCACCTTGACAGTTCTGTTCAGACCTGTCACTTAGATTGAAGATGCATGTTCATGTTTTCAAATTTTCTCTATCTCTGATTTCAGTTCAACTGCACCTACCGCAAGAACCAGGACAGTCCATTTGACACCGATGCTGGATCTGATGATTTTCTTGTAGACTCTACAGCCAATGTGACCTTCAACATGGAGCTTTATAACAACCACTTCCAGTTCCCCAACAGCCAGCCGTTTCTCACAGTCACTGAGAACAGACCTGTCTTTGTGGAGGTAAGCATATGCATATACTATAACATTCTGATGGTAATTCATAGATTGTTGATTCATTGTTGTATATTATCAAATGCAACATGTGCACTAGCATTTAAATGTTTGGCATTGTAAGATGATATAAGACTGTAAAATTTGTTTCCTTTTTCTTCTTTGAAGTCACCATGGTTGCATTTATTTTTATAAAAAAGTATGTCAAAATGACATTTACATTTAAGATTTGATTAGTGTTTTAAACTGTGATATTTGTTAAATTGATTGATGCAAAGATGCCTAATGATCAGTGAAGCAGTGATCCTGAATTTTATATTTCTTAAAATGAAACCATGCAGAAACCGTGTTGCATACATTCAGTATGTGCATCTGTATTTGATGGGAATTATCCCTTTGGGGTTCTAGAAAACCATTTCCAAGCCTGTAACCACATTAGGAGTCTAATTTAATAATTAAATGAGAAACCATACACACAAATATAGACACTGCCTAAAGCTATTGAAATACAGGATCTGCTTTTTCCCTTTAACCATAGTGTGTGCTTCTCATTTTGGATGGGTTCATGTTTTCAATACCCAAAGTGCCTGGTTTCATCCTGTCTAATCAGACATGTCCTGAGCATGTGAGATTTTACAGCTGCAGAAATGCACACATTTATGGATGTCTCTCGCTGTCTATTGCTGTCTGTGAAAGATATCTGCACTCTGTTCTGTGTGTACGTTTTGTCTGGACTGTTTGCCTGCCATGTTGATATTAATCAGTGGGGTTTTAAGGGGAGCTAAGCAGACAATATTTGATCTCAGGTCTCAGCGGGCCTAAAGTAAAAAAAAAATTTTTACTCAACCTAAGGTTAACATTGTATTGTATAAGAAAACATCAATATTTTACTTGCTTTAAGGTGTCATAGAATAAAAATCTGAATGAACTAAAATGGCCAAATAAGAAATGACATACCACGAGCATCAAACACCATTATTACCTCATTCTCATGTAAACCTTGTAAGCGTGAAATCCCATTGAAAAAAAGGCCAAACGGAACAAAACACCAACTGTTACGTTGCACTTGGGATTATTAAGATATACCCAGGTTGCATTTGATTGGCCACAATGTTTCCTAGTGAGATTACAACTTTTAGAATTATTCTCCTTATTTTTAAGTTTACCTAAGCTTGTATTAAACATACTATGTATATAGGATTCTTATTGTGTAAACAAGAGCGACAGGAAGAGTTAATGAGTAAGAATAAAAGTGTCTCTTCTGATCAAAATACAAAATGCTGGATATACAGATTATATATTCAATCAGCCTCACTTCAAAAACTAACAAGATAAGTTTAAATGTGTCTTTGGTTATTTTAATGTGAATATTTTCACCATTCCAAATATGGTCAAAACCATGCTAATCTATGTTAATTGCTGCGGTTAAAAATAGTAAATATATTATTATTGTAATATTATTATTATTATACTGACATTATTGGATTGGCACTAATCAGACATTATTATATTTTATAATGTATGAACTTTGCAGTATAAATTGTTTTTGACTTAAACTGACGCAGCATTAAATTATACATTAAGCTGAATAATGACTATTGTCTTCTTTTACAGTTGATTCATAACTGAAATAGAATTTTTTTTATAATTAATGATTTTTTTAATTATTATTGTTATGCTTGTCACTGTATTCTATAAAGCCATGTATAGATAAATGTAACTTGAATTGTAAGAGGACTCACTCAAAAATACAAATTCTGATAACATAATTAAAACATAGTTCAAGGTTATGTAGTGCTTGAAGAATTAATGAAGTAATTTAATATAAATCTTCTTTTATATTTATTTTATGCATGTGTATAGTAAAATTTGTCATGCTAACTTCCTGACACTTTTGTAACCCAATATGCTGCTCAAATTTGAATAAATAATTTTGCAATATACTGTAAGCTCAGTGAGGTCCAGAATGTAGGATTTTCAGTGGAAAATGACTGTGAGTTTGGACTGTGTGACATCCCATTGCCACTGTAAATCTATGTTATTTATGTATGCTACGCATTATGATTTCATCTGTCTACCTGGAAGACTGGACCTCTCTCCTGACTTTGACACCCCCTTGGCACAGTTACATTGAGGAAAAGGGATGTGATGTTTTTAGTGGCAGCTCTTGTCTGTCATGCATGCTTTTACAGCATCAGATGGCCAAGCTTTCCTGAATGATTCTTAAAGATTTATCTGAGGCACAGAAAACTGACGTCAGAATTTGTGATTGTTGGAATGGTTACCGCTCTGACTGTGTTTTTTTAGACAGTGTGCCGTGTTAAAATAAATTGAAAGTGTCCACGCGTTATTTGCTGATTTGAACTAATGCAGAAGAGGGTTTGAGGAAAAAAAAAAAGTATATCTCAGAGCAATCAAAAATATAGACTCTTTTTATCTGCCAGAACTTTAGACATAAACTACAGGATGTATTGTAAGCATCATTCTGCTGATCCTGCTCATACTATATGAATCATGTTCTATACTTGTGAAAAATCACCAAAAATAGTTGTATTAATCAAGCTTTTCTTTCTTTTGCTTTTTGTCTTGCTGTCATCCTCTTTTATTGTTTGCAGCAGATGCTTTTTTTCCCCTGTGAAATACAGTATGACTTTTTCTTTATTAACAGAGATGTGATGTTTCTCTGCAGATTGCAGCCACAAAAGCTGACCCCAACCTTGGCTTCATGATCCAGACCTGCTTCATATCTCCAGACTCCAATCCTGCCGTGCAGTCGGAGTATGTTGTCATAGAGAACATCTGTCCCAAGGATGACTCTGTGGTCTACTACCCTCAGCGAGGAGATTTCCCCATTCCTCATGCTCAGATGGACAAAAAACGCTTCAGCTTCACCTACAGATCAAAGTTCAATGTGTCACTGCTCTTCCTGCACTGTGAGATGTCACTCTGCTCCAGAAGAAATGACAAGGAGATGAACCTGGCCGAGGTAGAAACCATCAATTAACATTTCTGTTGTTCTAATATCTTGTGAACTCACTGATGTAGCATTGTAGTAAAGAAACAAAACAAAAAATTGCATTATGGGGCCTTTTAAGCTACTTTGTATCTTCAAATTATTTACAGGGTTACTACATGTGCTTGAAATCCTTTACAATTCTGAATTTTAATAATTCATAATAATTCATGCAAGTTAATACACTTAAAAATATATTTCTTTTGGTAATCTTCACTGAAAGTCTGACCATTTGCTTCTGTGTTTGGAAATAGCGGTCCTTCTGTTGACGTCAACCTGAGGGATTCCATAGTAACTTCATATTAATGCCCTCTTATGCTGTAAGTTTCCTATGAGAAACTGAAGCACTAAAGGAGCTCCGCCCTCTACTCAATGTTCCGTTTCAGCTGAAAGTACATTAATTACTGAAATAAAAGTCTCAGCAACTTCCGGTTCATGCAGACCTTTTTATAGTGTTTGAAATGTGCTTAGATTTTGGACAAAGCACTTGAAACTACTTGAAAATGTAAATTTGTTGCTTTTTCATAATAAATTATCTTACTAAATTGGTAATAATAATTACATATATAAATAAAATCTTAATAAAAAGATTAAATTAAAGTAATTTAATGTTGGACTTGGGGCAAACATGCCGTCAAACTGTTTTCCTAGAATACTAGTCTGTAATATAGATTATTAGGTCCCACTTTATATTAAGTGCCCTAACTAAACTGTACTTACATCAAAATACTAATACAGTGTGCTTAATGTGTTCATAATGTATCGCAGAACCCTTCTGGTGCTCTTGAGAAGGGATACAATATGACTAGGGAAAGGATTGGTGGTATGGGTAGATTTATGGGTAGGCTAAGGGATGGTCAACAGTGTAGTTATATTGGCTTGAGAAAGCTTGAGAAAAGCCAACATACTGTTATACTATGTCGTTAAAAAAAAAGGTATCGCCTCCTAGGCCGTTCATACTACAAGGCCTAAATTTAGTCAAAATGTGCCTTCTGCATTCAAGATTGGGGCTATGTCTCCTGATACCAATCAGACGTATTGTTTTTAAATAAAAAATAAAAAAATAAAGATTAAATTTTAATAATCAGGGCATATAAAAAATCATTCAAGCCCCAAATTTGGCCAAAAGCTGTGTTCTGCTTTTGATTTTGTTGTTCCGTTTTTTTTACTGACATGGCTAGCCATTTTTGCATGCATCACTTTCACATATAAGCATTAAGCCTTATATTTTTAATAAAATATGGCAAGCCATTTTTACCTAATGTCCAAGTCCAGTTTTTGATTGTCATAGGCACTGTCATAGAGACATCGGGGGTTCAGTTATACAGTATCACTCATATTGGCAAAACTCTTTGATGTATCATTACTAAGCTGTCAACTGTCTCCATAGAAAAAAAAAAACCCAGCTAACCTTGCAACCTTTTAAAAACAGAAATATATCTACCCCAAAACATTGTAGGGACCTGGGTATTGGCTCGTTTACCTCATGCTAGCCAGTGGGACTTTCTCTGTACTATGCATGGTAACAGTGATAAGCCAAGTGCTTATAACGATTAGCTACATGCTATTAATGATTATCTAAGTGCAATAACATATGCTAGAAATGCATTTAATCAAATTAGCATTTGATCAAACATTTACACGAGCGGTACCATTTAGCAACTGCTAATCAACCACCTAGCAATGCCATAAACATTTTAGCAACTTCCTAACAACCATTCAGCAACCGCTGTGCTTGCTGCCAACAGCCATTCTCAGCCATTCCTAGCACAGTCACGTTGGATTTCTCAAGCCAACATCAAATTTCATCAAAAAACGTTGTTCTAGTTTCAAATGTAATTACAGATGTAAATACATGCAGGTATTTAACCAGTCATATGTACAATGTAAAAACATGTATTTGCACAATAAGTACATTCCAACCAATTATTATTTATCAGTGTAAGTACTGTACATATTAGTTAAGGCCACTTAATATAAAGTGGGACCAAATACTATAACAAATACCGATATATTGTGATGAAGTACATGTGTATGTACATAAATATGTGAGTTTTCAAACTTAAGTATTTAAGTTTAACTTCAGAAAGCAGCTCCAAATATATCATACAATATATATCATACACAGAGATGGCAATCTCAGTGAGAAATAAGGTTATGTTTCATTTTGATGGTCACATTTAGCCATTCTGTTTCCTCTATAAGTACTGTGATTTACTAAGGACTGTGTGCTACAATGTACATGCCAGCTTACTAAAATATAAGTGTAGTTTGGTTTTCTTACTTAGATTGTTTAGACAAGTGTAAAAGTGCCATATTTAGGCAGTTTTTAAAGTTGCACTAGGTATTGGAACACATCTTTTCTCATCATCATCTATTTTCATTATCTCTCACACATTTCTCACTCATTAAAATGTTAATGGCTTTGTAATATTTATACAAATCTTTAGAGATGACCCTGTGATGACAGAACTACAACACACATCAAATTAAACTTATTAGAATAAACCAAAACTGTATTATGTTTCACACAATCAAGCTGAAAATCAACCAACCATTTCTAGAGTCAAAATAGAATGCACTGCTGTATGTTTGTTTGCTTCCAGGCTGCACAGGGATATCAGTTATGTCATTAAATCACAGCACAGGCGCACAGATAACTTATTGACCCTTGCACATATTTTTAGAGCCGTTACTTTATTATATGGATAACACGAACACACTCTTTAATTCATTTATATAGTCTGTTTGACATTGCTGTCCATCCTCAGAGAGTTGTTGGATTCATTGCCTTGGCACAGGTCGCTCTCCACCAGCTGCTAGCATCAATCCACTCTGTGTGAGTGCGGGATGCGTAAATCTCAGGTTACTTCAGTTACCATCCACAGAGGAAAAACAAATCTCCAGGCCCTCCTGTCCTTTTTCACATTTTCCTTCCTCCTTCGCTTCTAGTCATAATCATTTTAATCTCCTGCATTTCCAGCCACTCTAATCATCATAGTGCACGTTACGGTTGTTTAGGTCTCACCTAACATGATCTCCAAAGTGACTCATTGTTTGGTTGTAGATGTTTACAATTCACTCATAATCTGGATGAGGATAAGAGATGTGGCACGTCAAAGCATATAAACTGTGTATGAAAATAAATGAGCTTTCTCTTCGATGAGCACATATTCAGTTTGGCTCGAGCACAATGGCTGGCTTTAATGGATTGTAAAATATACACTAATCCATGCTTATGAAGCACAAAGTGCTTTACAATAAGTGCAAATTTAAACATCTCATGATGAGCTATGATGATGGTCTTATTGGGTTACTGTGAAAGTTTTTTTGGGACAGTTGATTTTAGAGCTACAATTGTATTTTGAGCACAGTTAACATATCAGTAATTTGTTGCAATATTTGGCATTGGTTATTGGTAATAATGTATAGTTATAATGTATTAGTAAATTAAAATAAATATTGTAAATATATACAGTAAGAGGGAAGTTCTCTGAATTAACTTGTGGATGATGGTGACTGTTTAGAGATTGTCATTTCAAATCTAATGTAACCTTTGTTTGTTTGTTTTATTGTTAAAAGCTAATTGAAATTAAATCTTTTAATTAAATATTGTAAATAAATCAGGTTTAGTTCAAATGTGCATACCTTATGAATAGAGGGCAATGCAGAGTCTTTGGTGAGCAAATCAAGAAAAAAAGGCAGATTCTGCTTGACTAGTGAATTCAACATTGAACTCCTCTGTTATGATTTATTGCAGTAAGTTATCATTTTGAAAGTTAAACTGCATAAGTTAATCTGATTAGAAATGTTTGTTTTTCATTTTTAAATATTCTGAAATAAATTTGGAAATTAACCATGGCAACTTTATTGTAATATAGTTTGGTATATTTACCTTTGGCTCACAGCTCATAGTGATACTTGGTTTTTGGCCATTTATACGAAAATAATCTGGGCACCTCGGGTTTTGAGCAACTTGTTACTGTTTTATTTTATTCAAAAAATGTCTTATAACTTCCCTCTGAGTTTAAAAAAATATATCAAATTGAATATTTTTTTGAGCATTTTATTTTAGAAGGAAGATTTTTATCTGTTGTGATTGATATAAATTGGGTTATTCACCTATTAATGTCTTAAATTAATATAAACATGTCTGATCAGCTTTATTATTATTATTATTATTATTATTGTTGTTGTTGTTGTTGTTGTTGTTGTTGTTGTTGCTGTTGTTGTTGCTATTATTTTTGTTGTCGCTATTATTTTTATTATTGTTGCTGTTGCTATTATTTTTAATATTACTGTTATTATTAGTAGTATTATTATTACTATTATTATTATAAGCAATAATAATAATAATAATAATAATAATAATAATAATAATAATAATAATAATAATAATGCAAACTATATATTACATTGGAAAGAAAGGGTATAAGTTGTTTACATAATAAAACAAGCATTCCATTTTAAACAATAAAATTAAATAAAACAAAATAAAAAAGTCAGTTCAAATATGCTGTTTAAAATAAAATATATAAAATAATCTGTTTGACAAGACCTCTAAATGTTGTCAATTCTAAATTAGATTTTTAGAAAAAAATCATTATCATTGAGCTCTGTATCAAAAGCCTGTTTACACTTGTGGGATTTTTCTTTTTCCGAACTGTTACAGATTCCAAAATTTGACCTTTCCTCATAATAGGAAATGCAATTGTGAGCCTGTTTATTATAGTAAGCTCTTTTATCCCAAGAGTGAGTTTCATGCTGTTTTTTAAACATTGTGGTGCACAGATGCCAAAGTTTACACCTGGATCTTGTTCTGACGTTCCTGCTTTTCTCTTTGTAGTGTATGTTACCGGATGAAGCCTGCACTTCCCTCAGTATAGAGAGCATCCTACTCATCATGATGAACACAAAGACCTTGACCAAACCAATAGTGGTCATATCTGACGACATGCCAGTCACTGTTAAGGTCCCTTGGGATGAAAGTCCACCACGTCAAGGTAATACACCCAATACTTATCTATACACTACCGGTCAAAATCACCTTGATGAACAAAATAATTTTCTTTAAAAAAACATGAAATAAATAAATAAATAAATAAATAAATAAATAAATAAATAAATAAATAAATGCCCCCAAACTTTTTACCGGTAGTGTAAGAACTTTATTTTATCTGGCCAATTTTTTTTTTTTGCTGCATACATATATAAAAACTTCTCAGATTTCAGAAAAGAAAGAGATCTAAACTTCTGTAGACCACCTGTATGAGATTTGTGTGGAGAAATGAGAAAGTGTTTTATTGCTGTTTAATTGTCTTTAATAACACAGAGTTGTAATTTGCACTAAGTTTAAATACCCCGTCTTGTTGGCAGAGGCTATTTACACTAATTCCGCCCATGGTAGGTTTACCAAGGTCAAAACTGTCACGACATGCATCAATAGGGGTCAAATGCTGGTCAAATTAAGGCACGAATATACAACTTTTGCGTGAGCAGAATCATGGGATGGATGAGACGTTGGATGCAGTGAATTGAATCGGAGGAGCGTGTTAAGCTGGCGCAGTGTCGCAGGAGATAGCGCTGTGACCTCACTGCAAGAAGGTCGCTGGTTCGAGTCCTAGCTAGGCCACCTGCCATTTCACGTTCATTTCCTCTGATGCTCCGGTTTCCTCCACAAGTCCAAAGACATGCACTATAGGTAAATTGGGTAAGCTAAATTGTTCATACTGTATTTATGAATGAGAGTGTATGGGTTTTTCCCAGTGATGGGTTGCAGCTGGAAGGGCATCTGCTGCGTAAAAAATACACTGGATAAGTTGGCGGTTCATTCCACTGTGCCAACCCCAGATTAATAAAGGGACTAAGCCGAAAATAAAATAAATGAACCAATTAATTAATAATCTGAACCAGAACAAACCTTATAATTGAGAAAGTTTTTTATTGCTGTTCATTTGTCTTTATTTTAATGATCTGAACCAGAATGTACCTTGGAGTTGAGCTCTGTATATACTGTATAGAGTCACTTTCATGACTTGTGTTAATATATTATAAATGATTAGCCTTCTTGTGGAATTTTTATTATTCTTAATTATTACTAAAACAGACAATATTTGACTTTAAACTATTACAATGTCAACAAGAGTCACCTTTCAAACTTTTCAACACAATGCTTTTGGAGAAAAGATTAAGATGCAATTCACCATAATGCCATTCAAAAGCCTAAATAAGTGGAAAAAAACATAATTCACCAAATACAGAAATTTCAGTGTAGGTTAATTACATTAATAACTAGGCAAGTTTGGTTAATTAGCCAAGTCATTGGACAACAGTGGTTTGTAGTATAGGCAATAAAATAAAATTATTATATTATATTATATTATATTATATTATATTATATTATATTATATTATATTATATTATATTATATTATATTATATTATATTATATTATATTATATTATATTGTATTATATTATATTATATTATATTATATTATATTATATTATATTATATTATATTGTATTATTATATTATATTATATTATGTTATATTATACATTGCATCTTTAAGGCTTAAATAATCTGAAAACCTCTTGCTATGAATAACAAATCTGAAACATCATGGGAAAATGGGTGCGTCTGACATTATACATGTGTGTCAGTCACTTCGAGAGGCCATAGAGTTCTTGTGCTGCATTGCGCCCATCTGGAGTCTGTTAGTATGTGGCAGTGTTGAGTTCGTGTGTATCTGCTTGCGTGTTTATTGTGCATTCAGTGTGGTTCGGTCTGACAGTGTGAGCGGTTCATTAAAGATGTGGGACAAGGGACTCATAGATGCATCAGAGGAGAGGAAAAAGAGCGGCCTTCCAATTCTGGATAGCATTTGTTTTCACTTAAACATTCTTTAAGGCCTCCCCTTCCCATACACACATTCACAGAGAGGATAAGGAAAATTGATAAAGAAAGAGGCCCTTGTGTTTTATACCAGCATAGTCCATTCATCATATATACTGTACTGTATGGGCTGACTAGGACACAAAGACAGCAGGGTGGTCTCTAAAGTTCTACAAAGAAGCTTACTTTGACCATGACTGATTTGTTCTCTTCCCTGCATCCTCTTGGCACTATTGCACCTATTGCGGTTTGAATTGAGTCAGTTTAACTGACTGGCTGCTCTAATGAAAATCATTCCTGCTTAATAACACAATGTTGCTGTGCTGCTTGTAGCAAATGGAGTGCAGATCTATTAGTCCCACTTGATTAGGTAAATGACTGCCCCTCCTGAGGGATTCACAAATTCAGGTTCACAAAGAGCTATTTTTATTATTTTATATATTAAAGCAATTTTTATGTGAATATTTAAATGTCATTTTTCATTTAAAACCCTTAGTAATGTTGATTGACTATTCAAATCTATTTGGATATATAATATTTAAATATAATATGAGTATAAGTGATTATAATTCAAATAATATAAATAAATTTGATAGCAAAATATATTTTTGACAATTTAATTTTGGGAAAAGAAGATGCTCAGGGATTGCAAGTGGCTTTGTTGCATCATATATATGTCACTTTACTTACAGCTGATTGGTCCAGTTTGTGTCTGCTAACTCTTAAAGTCGAAATTATACTTCTCCGTCAAGCGCATGTATGGTCTGGCGCAGCTTTCGGTCGCATAGCCCTCGTCGTGGCTGACACCGTGAAGGAGCTCTAGATGTTTTGTGTTTACCTTATGATTATTGTTTTTGCATGTATGTCCGCCGGTTCCCGCCTCTGAAAAAGCAAGTTTTAGCTACTTGCACATTAAGGTGGTTTTCAGGAAAAACAAAACACTTGTGAAGAAACTCGATACAGAGGAACATAACATAACCTACTGCTAGCCAGCCAGTGTGTCGGAAGTATTATTGCAGAGCAACACAAGCAGCACGCAGAACTATAAATGCATGGCTATGCGCAAGACTTGAACCATGGGTTTTGGCGATCGCTCAACGCAAAAGTATAAACCAGCTAAATGAACCTGCTCTGGAGCAGGATAGCAGTGTAGCATACCATGGCGACAAAACCCAATCTAAACCAACCCATCTTGAGCTTGAAAACTTGGTTTGCTGTAACTAAACCTGAACTTTCCAGGGTAAAAGCTCAAACTGGCTTTGTCCAACAGATCACATACCTAGGAAATCTGAAGGGAATCCAGATTGTACCTGTATTTGAATCCAGTGAGAATCCAGTGTGGGCACTCTGTTGATTAACAGGCTTGCATATGTTGCCAACACCAGGCTTATTTTCTTTGGTGCGGATTAGGTAAACACAGATATGCCATAAAAGTTATGAAAACAGGCTTTGAATCTTGTTTTGAACACAAAGACGGCTCTTGTACAGACATGGCAGAAAAGCAGCCTTTCAAAAAAGACTCAAAGCGCCGCTCTGGACAGGATCTCTAAGAATTTGGCCTAATCTACAAATCAAAGAGGGCAGCTTGTGGGAGTGCCATGCTTTGAGAAAAACACAGCAGAATAAAACATTGCCATCCAAAAGTTGATTTATGATCACGAAACACAAATTCGTATTTAGTCTTAAGCATAGGTGAAAACTTCAAATAATTTTTTGTAAATATATTCATTTGAAATTGTTGTGCAGGTAATCATGATTAAGGATGAAATATATATATATATATATATATATATATATATATATATATATATATATATATATATATATATATATATATATATATATATATATATAAACCTGTCCACAAAACTGTTGAAACAAACTTAAACTGTAAGGAAAGGAGAAAACTCTTGAGAAGAGAGTGAGTTTTCTTTACTATTCCTACTATTGTACTGATTTAGGCGATAGTTTTAGTGTTAAAGTGCTTTGTGAAATACAAATTCTTAACAGTCCTTAATTGAGGACTAACACCTCACCATTATTTTTAAGATTTTCTACTTTATCGGCAAATTAGAAGCTACATTTAGTCTTAGGATGTTTTGTGGATAAGGCCTCTAAACAGTTAAAAAAGAGAAATAGACTAAACAACAAAGAATAAAATTATAAATGTAAACAATATGTTTGCTAATATGTAATCAATAAAAAATCATTGAGTATAAAAAAGTCTTGTTACCCATGACTCCTTTAGTGAGTAAATAGGGCTTTGTACAAATATGTATTATGTAATATGTATATGTGTGTAATATGTAATGTATTTCAGTATGTCCCCAGCATAAATGACTACAATTCTTTGAAATGTAATGTTTTTATTTATTTATCTTTGGACATAGACCCTATATTTTAGTGTAATTAAACAAAACATTTAGTAAACAGTTACATGCATTAAATTAAGTCTGTGGGATTTTTAGCGATAAAAAAATAATAAATCTAAATTCAAATTAGGTGCTTAACTAAAAAAAATCAACTAAATGTAATTTACTTTATGGTTATCTTGTTATTTGCTCTTTTAAAATCGTATTTAATATATTTCCCTAAAATAATAATTCGACTGTATATTACATTTTAAAATGTGCATTAGGTCACAGTTGTTAAATTAGTATCAATAATGTAATTTATATGCACAAACATATTGTTAAATATCATCCTATATGAACTATTCATTTAAATGAGAGATCTGTCCTCATTTATCCAGGGCACTCTATAGTTGATCAGATTTATGTTGTGACAACATGCATTTATAATTCAAATTATTTGCCAACATAACCTCTACATCTTTACAAAGAAACACTTACATTTTAAACATTTAGTCATGAAATCAATATGCACTTTGAAAAAAAGTCTGCCGGTTGCTCTTGTTGGGATCATCCTTTCGAGTTTCACATCTCATAATTTGGGTACGTGACTTGCAGTTTTGGGCCTGTTACTCAAAAAAGTAATTAATATAGTTACTAGTTACTCACAAATATTAACTGAGTTATTAACTGAATTTAGAGTCAGATGAGCACTTTAGTGAGCTCAATTGCAAATTCTATATGAATTATATAATGC